CCGCACGTGGTTCCACCCTGCATTTCGGCGCACCCCTCACGCGTTTCGTGGCCTCAGATGGGGCTGCACCGACGGCTCCTGTGGCAGCGTCCGCATAGCGTACCCGTGCCAATTTTGGCACACCGGTCACACGCGTCGTGGTCTCAGAGGGAGGTTCACCGAGGACGATACCCACACCTGCGTTACACACAGCTGCACATGGTTGGGCCCTTCGCCAGGATAATTCCTCAGAACCTATGCTCTTGCTCGCTGCCGAAAACCACCGCCCCAACAAAGCCAACGCTCCCGCCCGACTTCTTCCCGTTTTACCTTGGACTGGCGCGCTCCTCTTTCTCTCATCGGCGCCGCCCCCAGCAAAAACAACGCTCCCGCTCGAGACTTCCTCCTTTTTGGTGCCCTTGCTCGCCGCCGAAAACCGCCGCCCCAGCAAAACCAGCGCTCCCGCCTGAGACTTCCTCCCATTTTACGCTGGACCGGCGCCCTACTCTTTTTTGAATGGGCGCCGCCCCAAGCAAGAACAACGCTTCCGCTCGAGGCTTCCTCCCTTTCTCCTGAGGACGGTGCCGTTCCTCGCCGCCGGCAGCCCGCGTCCCGACAAAACCATCTCGAGACTTCTTCCATCCTTACTCAAGGTGGTGATCCTCCTCGCCGCCGACAACCGCCGTCCCTTCAGAACCAGCGCTCCCGCTCGAGATTCGTTTTGTTTAACGCTGGACTAGCGCACAGCTTTCTTCTGCATTAGCGCCGTCCCTAGCAACAACAGCACCCCTGGTCGAGACTTCCTACCTTTCTATTCAGGGCCAGGTGCTTGCCTCGCCGCCGACAGCCCCCATCCCTACCAAACCAATCCTGTCGCTCGATATTTCCTTGTGCTTTCCCCTTGGCTGGGGCTCCACTGGCTGTCTCGCATCGGCGCAGCAGGGCGCGGGCATGTGTTTTCGAGGCGGGGTATGTTGAAATTCCTCGGAGGATGTGTTTGAAAGACGTCATTGGGCGGTAGATCTGGGAATGCGTACAACGGACCCTCGCGATTGAACAATAACCCCCCATAATGGGAATGGTTATCATGATGGTCGCATGTTGCGTGTGGAAAGCATCGCGCATCAGGGTAACATGATTGTTGTTGTTGTTGTTGTTGTTGTTGTTGTTGTTGTTGTTGTTGTTGTTGTTGTTGTTGTTGTTGTTGTTGTTGTTGTTGTTGTTGTTGTTGTTGTTGTTGTTGTTGTTGTTGTTGTTGTTGTTGTTGTTGTTGTTGTTGTTGTTGTTGTTGTTGTTGTTGTTGTTGTTGTTGTTGTTGTTTTGTTGTTGTTGTTGATGATCAGGATGATGATGATGATGATGATGATGATGATGATGATGATGATGATGATGATGATGATGATGATGATGATGATGTTGTTGTTGTTGTGGTTGTGGTTGTGGTTGTGGTTGTGGTTGTGGTTGTTGTTGTGGTTGTTGTTGTTGTGCTTGTTGTTGTTGTTGTTGTTGTTGCTGTTGTTGTTGTTGTTGTGTTTGTTGTTTTTGGTGTTGTTGAGCTTTCACGGATGACGAATCTGTATTGATGAGTCCCCCCTCTTGTGGCCCTTGTGTTTTTTAATTGAAGTGCTTCCCCCAGTCCGGGGCTCGCATTTTTTGTTAAACCAGGGGAAGCCACTCGGATCAACCTGTGCCCTTGGCCCTCGGGTTACAACAACAACGGCTTCCGCTGGAGATTTCCTTACAATTTAGCCAGGACCCCCGCTCCCGCTTGAGATCTTTTCGCATTTTACTAAGGAATCGCTTTTTCGCTTGGGACATCCTTATAGCTTATTCAGGAATCGCTCTCTCGGCGCTCTGGAGCCGCGCTCTCGCTGGAGACTTGCTTGCAATTTACTCAAACGCCGCGCTCCTGACACTCAGGCACCCAGGAGTCGCGCTCACGCTTAGGAGTCCCCCACAGCTTACTTCGGAATCGGGATCTCGCTGCCCTTCGTGTCCAACTTGCAGCCCTTCGTGGCCTCGCTGTCCGTGGCCCCGTTGCAGCCCTTCGTGGCCCCCTCGCTGCCCTTCGTAGCCCCGTTGCAGCTCTTCGTGGCCCCCTCGCTGCCCTTCGTGACCCTGTTGCAGCCCTTCGTGGCCCCCTCGCTGCCCTTCGTGGCCCCGTTGCAGCCCTTCGTGGCACCCTCGCTGCCCTTCGTGGCCTCATATATGCACTCCCTTCATGGCCCCCCCCTTGTTCGCGCCCGTCGTGGACCCTTATGCATGCGCTTCGTGGCCTCGCTGTCGTCCTTCGTGGCCCCCTCGCTGCCCTTCGTGGCCCCGTTGCTGTCCTCAGTGGCCCCGTCCTTGCCCTTTGCGGCCCAATATATGTATGCCCTTCGTGGCCCCCGCTCGTTCGCGCCCGTCGTGGACCCATATGCATGCCCTTCGTGGCCCCGCTGTCGCCCTCTGTGGCCCCCTCGCTGTCCTATGTGGCTCCGTCGCTACCCTCAGTGGCCCGTCGTTGCCCTCAGTGGCCCCGCATTATCTGCCCTTCGTGGCCCTCGCTCGTTCACGCCCGTCGTGGCCCCATATGCATGCCCTTCTTGGCCCCGCTGTCGCCTTTCGTGGCCCGCTTCGGGTCCTTCGTTACCCCGCTCTCGCTCTCGCTCTCGCTCTCGCTCTCGCTCTCGCTCTCGCTTTCGCTCGTGGTCGTCGTCGTCGTCGTCGTCGTCGCCGTCGTCATCGTCGTCGTCGTTGTCGTCGTCGTCGTCGTGGTCGGCCCCTTGTCCGTACCTCTTGGGGTCGGGTTGCCGCCGATCAGCGCTGCCGCTGGCCAGGCCGACAGTCCGCAGCCGTTCCGCCGCTTGCGGGTGCCCGGCCTGCAGGGAAGAAACATCTACCCTCCAAAAAGGGTACGATCGAAGATGAAGAGGGCGGGCATCGAGGGTTTTGGACATTCGCGTTGAATGACACTCGAGCAGATGAGAGTAAACAGTTTTAACCTGTCATCAGTTGTTGTTGTCGTCGTTGTCGTCGTCTTTGTCGTTGTTGATGTTGTTGCTGTTGTTGTCGTTGTTGTTGTTTCTGCTGCTGGTGCTCCTGGTGCTGCTGGTGCTGCTGTTGTTGTTGTTGTTGTTGTTGTTGTTGTTGTTGTTGTTGTTGTTGTTGTTGTTGTTGTTGTTGTTGTTGTTGTTGTTGTCGTTGTCGTTGTCGTTGTCGTTGTTGTTGTTGTTGTTGTTGTTGTTGTTGTTGTTGTTGTGGTTGTTGTTGTTGTTATTGTTATTGTTATTGTTGTTGTCGTTGTCGTTGTTGCTGTTGCTGTTGTTGCCACTGCTGTTGTGGTTGTTGTTGCTGTTGTTGGTTCGTTGTTGTTGTGGTTGTTGTTGCTGCTGTTGTTGCTGCTGTTGTTGTTGCTGCTGTTATTGTGGTGGTTGCTGTTGTGGTTGTTGTGTGATTGTTTTGTTGTTGTGTTGTTGTTGCTGTGTTTTTTGCTTTTGTTGAATTATCATTTCTGAAGAATAATTTTTGTTGATCCCCCCCGTCCGGTGCACATTGTTTTTTCGATTGAAGTGCCCTTCTCGCGGCTCGCACCCTGTTTTTTATCAGGAAAAGTCTTGAGGGTCAAACTGTGTCGTTGGCCCCCGGTTTACAACAACCACGGCTCCCGCCCGTTATTCCTTACAATTTATTGAAGAATCGCACTCTCGCTTGGGACTTCGGTGCAATTTACCACCAGATCGCGGCTCCCGCTTGATACTTTGTTACAATTTATTGAAGAATTGCGCTCTCGCTTGGGACTTCCTCACAACTTACCACCAAATCGCGGCTCCCGCCTGATACTTCCTCACCGTTTATTCAGATGGCGCTCCTCGACACTCAGGAATCGCGATCCCGCTACATATTGCCTGGCGAATCAAGTAGAATTTACGCTTCAACGACCCTCCCGCTCGACCCGCCCGTCTGGGCCTGCCCGCCCGACCAGCCCGTTAGGGACTGCAGTCGCCGCTCGCTGCCCTTCGCCCGCTTTCGATGCCCCTCGCTGCCCGTACTGGTTCCGTGGTCGCCTTCGCTCGCTGCACTTCGTGGCCCCGTTGCTGCCCTTCGTGGCAGGGAATGAATATACCCTCCAAAAGGGGGTACGGTCGAAGACGAAGAGGGCGGGTATCCAGGGTTCGGGATATGCATATTGAATGACACGCGAGCAGATAAGAGCGAACAGTCTTAAAATGATTGTTGTTGTTGTTGTTGTTGTTGTTGTTGTTGTTGTTGTTGTTGTTGTTGTTGTTGTTGTTGTTGTTGTAGTTGTTGTTGTTGTTGTTGTTGTTGTTGTTGGTGTTGTCGTCGCCGCTTTTTTGTTTGTTTGTTTTGTTGTTTGTTTTTTTTTGTTTTTGTTGTTGTTGTTGTTGTTGTTGTCGTTGTTGTTGTTGTTGTTGTTGTTGTTGTTGTTGTTGTTGTTGTTGTTGTTGTTGTTGTTGTTGTTGTTGTTGTTGTTGTTGTTGTTGTTGTTGTTGTTGTTGTTGTTGTTGTTGTTGTGTGTGTGTGTGTGTGCCGCAGAGGTCCTGGCCCCTCCCTCCCCCCAGGGGCAATTTTTCGCCCCAGATCCATTTCTGGTGGCCCCAGGCCCATACAAAGGGTTCCAGGGTCCGAAGTCGAAGAACAGAAACGTTTGGATTCAACAGAGTAGATATCCAGCTCCCTACGGCAAGTCCCGCCACCGCCCCCCCCACGGAGACGCCATGGCCGTTCAGCGTCCAGGGACCTCCAGGAGGAGGGGTGGTGCACGCAAGCGGATGCGACGTGAGAGGTGGGTGGGCCCCTTGGAAAACTACAGGAACCCTGCCAGGCGGATGCACGCTGTCTCTGGGCAGCGCGTATCACGATCATCTGGCATCGGGGGGAGTTTTACGAAGTTTGGTCCGCCACGCGCAACGAACCGCATTGCCAGACAGCACCTGGTATTCTTCCACGCCTCAACGTGCCAGGAGGCACGGTAGCGGACACTATCGGATAATTACCCGGGGAGGGCGCAGGGGGCCCAGGCGGCGGCCTTGCCTCCGGTGGCGCACGGCCTCTTCGAGGACGAGGCGGGCCGCGCGCTCGGGGCAAGACGTCCGGGCGCGGACGCCGCGCGGCCGTCCGTGCTTTGTCCCCCATCCAGGAAGGAAACTACATCAGCACAAACTTTCGACGCGACGGTTCGCGCGGACTGATCGAATCTGCGCCTCTGGCGCGCGGAGCGCGCCATGGGCGGCGCTCGAGGCGCCGCCAGGGCGGTCCAGCGCAGATCCAAGAAGTCTGCGCGGACCGTCAAACGTTAATGTTTGTGCAGTCTTTCCCAATGCTTGTCCCCGGGAGGCTGCGAGGGGGTCCGCTCGGCTGACCTCGGGGGCGGCCAAGTGGGGGGTAATGACCAGGAGGGAGATTGCTTTCTCATCCTGTTGCGCGTAACGGTCGCCCCCCGCCCCCCCCCCGCCCCGGGCAACGGTAATGATCGTACGTTGCGGGGGTGGCCTGGACCCTTTCCCACATGCTGGTGCCCGAAGGCATGTTGTGCTGCTCAGAGGTATGCTGCAGCTCTCGCATGCTCACCCCGTCCAAAGCGTTACTGTTACCTGGTCGCCCCCTGGGGTAACGACCGCTACCCGAAATAACAAAGCAACAGTCTCCTGGGAGATGGTGAACAATTGTCTCGCCTCGGGATGCTTTCAAGCGGCTGCGCCTTGCGCCCGAAACGTCCCGAGCGGCTCCTCGATGCCCAAATTCTGATTCGAAAATTAGCTCATGATTAGCTCTGAATTCTGAGGCGTCGAGGAGGGGGGCTCATGATTAGGGTTGGTAGGTATCATGTCTGCGGCAATAATATCTCCCGGGATTGCATGGCCCCCTCATCTTCTTTGAGCACGTCCCCTGGCCCCTCCTCTGGGCCGCGCAAGTGCCTCGCCCCCCCTCCCCATCCCTCCCCCCCCTTCTCCCCCCCCTCCGCTCACAACCCCCCACCTGCTCCACAATTTAGCACCACTGTGAATGCTATTCCACCTCCTCCCCTGGAGTTGTCGTCCGGAAGTTCTTCCGCCCCCTTCCGCGTGTTCTTGACTCACCTTTTTCGTCGGCGGCGAGGCAGAGCTGCTGCACCAGCGGTCGGGCTAATCTGGGCTACCGAAGAGCGAGTTGCCCCGCATGCAGGAGGAGAGACTGAGACCCACAGGGCGGCCGCGGAGGAGGAGAGAGGTGGGGGGGGGCACTCAGAGGCGGAAGACTTCAATCCTGAGTGCGCTGTCGCGGCCAGCCTCGGCAGCGGGGACTGGCAGCTGCCAGGCCGCGGGACTGGTGCATCCACGGGCGTTGACAGGGCCCAGTAAGCGGAATGCAATGGTACCTGCAGTGAAGCCGTGCAGGTGAGGGCCGACTAGGTACAGTGAGTAAAGTACAGCGGTGCAGCCCAGGTGGGTCGACGAGGTACTGCAAGTGGCAAAGAGCAGTCTAGGTTTCAGACTGCCACCAGCAAAAAGCTGAGCCCCTAGGGTGGGGTGCAGGGCAGCAACATATGGCCCAGGAGCACCACCACCAGGGGTGTCACTGCCAGCCGCGGCTGCAGCGTCAGCGCTATGGCGGCGCGCGGAGTGAGGGATTGAAAGGCGCAGGGGGGAGGAAAGGGGATGGGGCAGGGAGGAGGAACGCCCCGCCTGCAGGGAGGTCCCCACAGGCGGGGCGTCGGTGCCAGGCGGCCCAGCGCCAGCAGAAGCTGCCCAGTGAGCGGCCCATGCTGTGGCCATGCTGTGGCCAACCGCGCCGCTCGCCGCGCCAGGGACCACACTGGCCAGGGCCAGAGCGGGGCGGGAGTCAAAAGTGCGGCCCAGGCCGAGGAAGGCGTCCGTCGGGGAAACTGCCTGCACCAAAATTGTGGCCGAAGCCGTGGGGCCACGGGCCACGCGCTGTCTGGGTGGACAGTACATGGCTGGTCTAGGAGCACCTGACCGGTGCAGTAACCTGTGTGACAGGACCGCAGCCGAAGGAGTTGAGAGCCACGCGCTGTCTGGGTGGACAGTGCATGGCAGACCCAGGGGCACCTAACCGGTGCAGTAACCTGTGTGAGCGGCCTGTGCCAGAGGCAGTTGAATGTCACGCGCTGTCTGGGTGGACAGGGCACCTAATCGGTGCAGGAAGCTGTGTGAATAGGGGCCGCGCACCGTAGCAGAGGATAGCGCTAGGCCGCAAGGCCACGCGCGTGGCCTGGGGAGGGAGGCAGGTGCCGAGCCAGGGTGCCAGCCAGGTCGACTCCCGCGTTGGTGACCTTGGTCGTCGGTGAGGGTAGCGCGAGGAAGCTTGGTGCTTGGTTCTCGGCGCGGGCTGTTGCTTGGCCCTGGCGCCAAGGGCCTTGGAGGCCGGGTAGGCCCGACGGGTCGGGACGGTGCGGCCTCGATTGATCGTTGTTGGGCTGATTGGGGTCGGCGTGTCTTCTTACCTTTCCCAGCCGGGTCGTTGCCTCCCTCTGCCCCGTCCCTTGTCGCGCGGTTGCTCGTTGCGCCGGAGCTGGCGTTCCCAGACTGCCCCCCAGTTCATCTAGACTCCCTTCGATCTGCAGACCCTGCGGATGTCGTTGCAGGCGTGGTAGAGGTCGTCCGCGAACTCCCTGCAGAGTTTGTCGTGCCCCTCGGGGTTGTAGGTACCTCTCGCTTGTCCTCGGCCGTCTCGGGCATCGCAGAAGGCGTTCCATCCTTCGACAAAGAATGCGCCACATTCCCGCTTTAGCCGGTGAGCGACTTCTGGCAAGGTCTCCTGGGCGTTGGCTAAGCAGTCTCACGCCCGCTGCCAGGTGATCATCCGGCAGGGCCGCATGTACAGCGTGTCGCTGTGGTCGTCGTCGCGGGTGTAACCTGGACCGGCCCGCGGAGCTCCGTGTCTTTCGTGCGCCGCTGAGCCGGCGCGGGGCGGGCCAGTGATCGAGGGGGAGGCTCCCGACCCTCGGCAGTTGGTCCAGGGGTTGGTGTGCTCAGTCCTAATGTGGTGGAGTTGGCCACTGTATTCTCGCTCGCCCGTCCTGGGGGACTTTCGCGCGCGTCCATCTCTGCGTTCGGTCGCGGCGGCAGGCTCCATCGCTGTTCTGCCGCTGCGGCGGTCGCTGGGGCCAGGCCCGCCGGTGTCCGCCCCAGTTGCGTCGATGGCCACTGCGGCCTGATCCTCTCGTGGTGGCTGTGATGCCGGCCGTACTGCGTCTCCCGGGCCAGTGCTGCTGGCCGCCGCCTGGGCGTGGTCGGCTGCGTGGGGCTCCACGCTGAGGTGCGCCCGGGGATCTCGATCTGGGGCGTCGGCGTCCTGCGGGCTGCCGTCGGGATGGCTCGGCGAATAGTCGACCTCCACCTCGCCACTTCCAACGGGTGGCCTTTTGACCTGGGGGCGACGGGGCGGTTGCACGGGCCTCCTGGGTATGGGGAGGGCTTGGGCGGTGCTTCGTCGGAAGGTGCAGAGCTGGCAGGCTGTGCCTTCGACCACGCGGCAGATGCGACGTCTGCTGCACTGTCGTCTGCCTTGGGGCCAGGGTTCCACTGCGTGCCTCTGCCTGGGGCGGGACTTTGGCCGCGGTGGCGCTGCCCTGCGGCAACTTGCGATGCTCGCGATTGGTTTGGGCGCTCAGTTCGGGTTCCTGGGGCCTTTATTTTGTTTAGGGTTTTCTTCGCGGCGGCACTCGGGTCCGCCCGGTTCAGGTCGTCCGCGCCAGGCTTGTAGTAGGCCAGCTCTGGCGATGGCAGGCTCTGTACCCCCTGTATGGCGAGGAATTTCGTTAGGTGCTGTTGACTGTACCTGTTTGGGTTCTTGCCCAGGCTTGCGAGCAGCTGGGAACACAGGACTTCATTTGTTTGTTATGTCTTTTTTGAATCCAATTGTTTTCGGTGTTTCAAAACGGTGCTCCCGCTGCAGCGTGGGCTTCATTTTTGGATCGGCGCGTTGCTCCCGTCGCTCAGAATGACGCTCTCGCCCCAGCGCGGGCCACTTTTGTGGATCCGAGTCTTGCTTTATTGTTGCCACCCATCAGGTCCCCTCCGCCTTTCCCTGGTCCTCCTGTTCCTCCCGCTCCTTTCACTCCAGTTCCTGCTGCTGTTGCTGCTGCTGCTGTTTGTTTCGCCCCAGCGCGGGCCACTTTTCTGAATACGAGTTTTTCTTCATCGTCGTTGCCCCCCTCATTTCTCCGCCTCCCCCTGGTCCTCCTTCCACTCCCGATCCTTCCGTTTTAATTCCTGCTGCTGCTGTTCGTCCTCATCCTTTTCCTCCCGCTCAGCCGCCACCTCTTCCTGTGCACGCAGCTCCTCTCTTTCCGATTGTGCATACCGCGAAATTGTCCTTTTGGTGTGTCGGCTCTGACTTGCTTCCGCGGATAAAGACAAATCAGCGCCATTGGAAGGGATTGGAGGGAGGGATAGGGTGTCAGACGAGGCGCGAGCGCACCTAGCTTGCCCCCCCCTCGCCTCCATCCCTCTCCCTTCCCCCCTTCTTCTTTTGCCCCTCCACCACCCTCGCACTGTTTTAAGGATGCATAATCAGATGCTGGGTCAGGAACTTGAGCTCTTGGCGGCCTCGGCCTTGACGGGAGGCACCCTTCTGGGAGCTGCTTTGGGTGGCGTGGCAGCAGTACGACGTTGCTTCGTATCTCGCCTTTCACGACCCCCTCCGTGCCCTCTGAAAGCCGCGCACCAGAGGCCATTCTTGTCCAGGGTCACTCTGGCGTGTCGCCGATCTCTGCGTGCACCGGTCAGGTCTGGCAGTGCAGGTGGCGTGCTGGAGGTGTCCGCGTAGCGCTCAAGGCAGCTGCTGGGGCGTCATGCTGTTCGTGCAGGTGCCAATCGGCCGTGCTGCCCTTCGCGCCACCCCCCTGGCTGCGCGAGGGGCAGCCCTCCCCCCGGCTCCCGCCAGGCCGCCTGCCCCAGCCGCTCCTGCAGCTGGGCGCCCCTGCCTGGCCAGCCCTGTGGCCGGGCGCCCCTGGCCCGCCCAGCTGTGATGCGCGCACCGGCCGGGCTGGTGGCTCTTCCCCTTCCCCGGTTCCCGCCGCCCCCGGCCGCCTGGGCGATCCCTGGCGTTGGCGGGTGGTTCCTCGCTTCGCTGCGCCGCTCCTGCAGGTCGGTGGCGCAGCAGCTCAGCAGCCCGTGGGGTCGGTGTGGCAGCATTTTGCTGCAATGCGTTGTTCGCGGTCCCAGCTCCGGCATGGACGCTCAGGCCGTGTCTGCATCCTGCTGGCGCCGTACCTTTGCAACAAAACCTGACGCTTACGGCTTCGTGACAGACACTTCGATGCTCCCACTCTCGCCGCTGTGGGCTCGCGAGCCGCTCCGCCTGACGTGCTGGTGCGACTTGCTCCACGCTTTCAGCGCCTGCAGCCTTGGCTTCAGTTCTTGGGTGTGGTCGCGATGCCTCTTCGCGCCGACGGCCAGGTCGGCCCAGCACGGGCTGGCCGCTCCAGTCATTCCTGCTAAGTCTTTTTTCGCTGTGAGTGCCCCCCTTCCCCCCGCCAGCCTTCTTCGGCTGCCCTCTTCCTCGTTCCCCCTGTTGCTGCTGGTTAATTGGTACGTCACGCGCCCCAGGATACCAAATCGCACGAGCGGATTGCTTCTGCCACGCTGCGACGTAAAAAGTGTAGCCGAATTTTGAGTTCAGCAGGGCGATCCTGTACCTCGTTGGCGAGTCTCGCCCAAACTTGAGGAGAGGGGGTACCCGCGCAAGTAGCTTGGGCTCGACGAGAGGATACACAACAGACGCCAGTTCTCATTCACGTTTTTTTGTTTTTCTGTGTGTGTGTGTGGGGTGAATTATTGTAGCCATGTCGCAGTCACAACGTGAGTGGGGAACCATATCATGAACACATCTACATGTTCAGCGTGCTTCTGGCGGTTCTCCTGCTGGGTATATTCCATTGTCTCTGCTGTAACGGAAGTGGCGCAAGAGGAGTGCATAGAATTTGCGGAAGACAGGAGAGGACCTGTCAGGATGGGAAGAGGCGAAGCGGCTGGACAGTGGGGGGCGCCGGGGATGCTGCTGGGGGAGGGAGAATGGTGTGGCGGGGGAGGGGAGCCTCAAACCATTCCTGGAAATGTCCCGCTGGCTCTTGTCGAGCCCGAAGACGCAAGGCGACCAGATGGGCTCTCGACCCCCCTGCCCATCCCGTCCTCTCGGCCCTTCATGCCCTCTGGCCCCCTTGGCCCTTCACCCCGCTGCTTTCGCCTCTCTTTGTCAGACGGCGTGGGGGCTTGAGCAGGACGGGGAAACGCACGAGGTTGAGCGGTGCCAGAAGCAGAGCCAGCGAGGGACTTCTGGAGGTAGAGGCCCGCAGGGACGACGCGAGCAGGGGTGCGTTGCCCGCGCTGCGGACGGCGCGTCGAGCAAGAGAAAGAGGGGGGAAGTCACAGGAGCGTCTGGGAGGAAATCATGGAAGGGGGTCACGAGTGCGGGCATTTTATTTCGCAGTACCGGTCGGTTCCGTCATGCTCTGTATCTTCGTCTTCATCACAGCCCCTCCGTTCCTGCGTTCTCCTGACCATCGTTCCTCGCTCCCAGTTCCCACGGCAAGGCTCTCCCACATGACGTGGGGGAGATTGCCGCCAACTGCCGCGTAAGCATTCCCACTCTACCCCTCCTGCTCTTCCTCCTTCTGCTGGCCCTCGTCATGCGCCTCCTACCGCTCCCTCCTCCATCTCCTCTGCTCCGAACTGGCTCCCGTTCTCCCTCTGTCCTTTTCGTGCTGCCCTTCTTCGGCCACCCTGCGCCAGGTCGGGCAGTATGAGTGGTCCCTCCACCAGATTGGTAAGCCCACTGCCTTGGCCTATTCCGCCGAGGCCCCATCTCCTGCCGCCGCCTGTCGTGCGTTGATCAAAGCTTGTGCCATGCCTCTCCCACACACAGCTGCCATATTGCCCAAGGTTGAGTAGGCACTTACGATAAAGAACTCTTGCATTCACAAATCTTATGGGTGCATTCCTCGTCGATCTTTTAGGGTCCTGAGGTGCCCCCGAGCTTCTGTGGGTCCCTGGGGCAATCGGGTGGTACGCACTTCGACGGCTCAACAGGCCAGAGGCGTGCTAAGGTTTTTGGAAAGAGGTTGCGAGTGCCTGTGTATTGCTAGATCGCCCGCGCGGGACGGTCCCTGGGGGTCCCCAGATGAAAAGTACCCCAGCCTTGGAGCGCCGGACTCGGGTTAGACATGGTTTTCGGTCTGGGCGCGGCCTTCACGACCCCCAAGTGCGCCCAAGGAGCGCCCAAGAGGGTCCGACACGGACCAGCAGCGCTGCAATACGCCCAAAGTGATGTTTTTCTTCACGGGCCAGGAGGACTCCCAAACGACCCAGGAACGCTCCAAGCGGGCTTCCAAGGAGGCCCCGAGAAGCCAAATCATTGATCTCCTTCTATTTTGAAGGTCTTCCGGCCGGTACCTCCGACCCAGAAAGACATCGACGGCCACGACGACAACGCCAACGACGAGCTGATGACCCCGCCACATGCTCGGGACATGGTGCGGGCGGATGATGATGATGATGATGATGATGATGATGATGATGATGATGATGATGATGATGATGATGATGATGATGATGATGATGATGATGATGATGATGATGATGATGATGATGATGATGATGATGATGATGATGATGATGATTGATATGATGATGATGATGATGATGATGATGATGATGATGATGATGATGATGATGATGATGATTATGATTATGATGATGATGATGATGATGATGATGATGATGATGATGATGATGATGATGATGA